AAGATATTTGATTGTTTGCAGTTTTGTTTAAGATTTTTAATTTGGTGTTCATTTAGGTAGTTTGTTATTCTTTGGGATATTGGGGTAAGTAAGGGGTGTTTACGAGCTAGAGCTTGGTTTTTGGGGCTGATGTTTTGGTTTATTAAGTTTTGGATGAGAGGGTTTGATTGGGACGCGGCCCAGAAATTTAAGCTTAGCTGTTCCCTGCGTAGACCTAGTGGCATTTCTCCTGTTAAGGCCTGAAGTGAGGTGTAGGAGGTGTCATGTTGGGTGCGTGTACTTAGTTTGAGAGCCTGATATTGTATTGAGTCTAGTTTTTTAGATAGAGAGTTGTTTAGGGTGTTGTATATGGCGCAGCCGTAGTCTAGTTTTGATCTAATTAGTGATATGTAGAGAGAGAGGAGGGTATCTTTGGAGGCTCCCCAGTTAGAGCCAGTTAGGCATCTTAGGGTGTTTAGGTCTTTACTGCATTTAGTTGTTAGGTTTTGGATGTGAGCATCCCAGGTGAGATGTTCATCGAAAATAAGTCCTAAGAATTTGGTTTGTTTTTGAAATTTGATTGTTTGATTGTTTAGCTGGAGGATTGGGGAGGCGGGTTTCATGTTTTTATGTTTGAATACTATTCCTGTTGTTTTTTCTGAGTTAAGGGAGAAGCCCCATTTGTCAGCCCATTGTCGTATTTTATTAAGAGATTTTTGGAGTAAATTTTGGACCATGTTCATGCTTTTGGTGCGGATCCAGATGGCTCCATCATCCGCGAATTTTGATGTGTTTACTTTAGGCGGATAACCGAGACTGCTGGTTTTATATTTAAAGTGTCTCATATGCCTGTATGTTGTTGTTTTAAATTCAAGGTAGTATTAATTATATTTAGAAGAATAAGCCTGCATGGCATTTTTTTAAAATTCAAGGTGTATTCATTATTTTTAGAACGAATTAAGTACTCCACAATGGGCGCGCGTCAATTATTGAATGAAATATAGCCACAACTTCTTCGCCCTGGAAGCCATGTTTAATTCACTGATGGTAACCTTTGACCCCAACGTAATGAATACAAAGCAGACTCATTAGTGAACCAAGGAAGAACTGAGCCAGGTGTGAACTCTCGGTGAGGTCATTGTGTATTTAATTACGATATGTGATCAGTCAGTCTAACTGTCCAGCCACAATCTGCTGACAGCGCGTGCGAGATGACTGATTAGTTTACACAACAATTAAAACACACGCCAAGCACTTGACCTATACAATATAGATGGGAACTAGGGAGTTCACCGCCATTTCCACCTAACGAACACTTCCTGGACACTTATCTTTGTTACCTGGCTAATTCTCCGAGGGCAAGACACCACACAGGTAATTTAAATGATTTATGATAATGTAACACCACGAATTCGCAGGCTACAACATTGAAACTTCCTTCTTTACATGGGATCGGCTAGTCTCATCAGCTGAGCAGCTCCACCCAATTACTTTATAACATTGGGTGAAATGAGACAAACACCGTAGCTTTAATCCACTCTCGTCGCATAAAAACCTGAAAATAATTCGGTTCTTGGAGTTGCGAAATATTGACGGGAACTACATTCAGATCTGTAATAAAATATACGTGTATATGTTCATGTGATGTTAAAATGCACCAGGATCTGGTCAGCTGACATATATTAAGTACATCAGTTAAAAGTGAATTGCACAGAAACAATATCTCCATTATTCAGGCTTCAGGCCGTACAATTGGGCGACAGGGCAAAAAAACACTAAACACATTACATAAATTTGTAACTAATAATTGGAAACAGACGATTTATACGTTATCATAATTATATTACAAAACTAAGGTTTCATAATACTCCCGACTTTACATTATGAAATAAGAGCCAAAACTTAATAACTCTAGGCCTTATATAATATTTGCTTTGTGCATAAAGCTTCCAAAACTGCAGACACTGAAACATATTCATCTCAAAAAGATTTATTGCAAATATACATTTTCTATCATTGTGTGAAATATGATTTGTTTGTTGGCCTGACGGTGGTCTGTAAATAATCGAGTCTGGACCAGACAATCCAGTAATTGATATCGTGAGCATCGATCCGCGCAATTGGGATACGATAACATGCATCAAACAAGTCAGCGAGCCTGACCACCCGATCCCGTTAGTCGCCTCCTACGGCAAGCATGGGTTGCTGAAGACCTATTTTACCCTGGATTTAACGGGTCTGTGAAATATCTTTCGACATAACAGGCAGATGATAATTAGCAGCAGTACGGTATTTGCAGGAGCCTTTTCCAGTTACCTTTAGCTAAATATGTACATAACTTTCAAATTTAAGTAAAAGCGTCAAAACCATTTCACGAACACCTGGTGTCATCACCGATTCTCACTGATTTCTCAGTGATACATTTATATAATTTTCATTGCTATTTTGCCTTTCACGCTCAATGGAATCTGTTTCGGCAGATAATCGCGAGTTTTTGCGAAAAGGTGTGTGTATCCCACCGGTGGCACCCGCCACAAACACATGCAAAGGCAAGTCAATTGTTCAACTGAACGAAAACATGCATGGGAGCGTATGGTACAAGTCATTTGTCACTGATGCGTCAGATCTGGACATGTCCTCCACATGCCTATCATAAAAGAAATTTTGAAAGCTCTGCTGAGGCCTTGAATGTTGTAACCCTGATAAAACAACTTTTGAGCAAGTCTCTCTTTGAAATCTTCTTGGAAAGATCATGCTCGCTTGAACCTCAGAAAGGTTGGCGCCAAAGGCGGGAGCTGCTGGAATATAACAGGGCATTATATTTTTGGACTCGCTCTAAGTTTCCATAACTCACAATTGTCCCTAAAACCTGTTTGAAATATTTTACACATCTTTACATAGTGAGTGAGTGAGTTGTGTTAAACGTCGCTTTTACCAGTATTCCAGGAAAGCCCAAACTGATCGAGGTCCTAGACGTTTACTACTTCGGTGAAACCCACGAGCACGGGTATGGTGCTGACAAACCTTGGAACATAATCGGGGCGAACCGGGATTCGAAACCACAATCATAGGTTTCTGGCGTGCCCAAGGGACGCAACTCTGTTCAGTGAACTGCGGCGTCTTAGACGACTGGGCCACCCGTGCCCCCGCATCTTTATATAACCAAAAGAGTGTCATCGGCATATACCAATAGCAGTAACATGGTGACAGTGTCTATATAAATGTCCAATATGCTAGAATCAAGTTTGATGCCTTTACAATATATACTCAACAAGTAATTCTCAACATTATAAATAAGCCAAAAAGTGTAGGTGAGAGTTTTTCTTCTTGTCGCACACCAGCTATCTTAGCGCTAAGATGATCGTAACGCCCATACTTTAACATACGCTTACAATAGTCTTAGCGCTAAGAACGCTTTGAGCAAGTGGGCCCTGAATTGCATGGGGAAAAACATGTAAAAAAACCACACATGACTTTATGCCTTGGTACATAATAGGGGCGGTGGGATAGCCTTGTGGTTAAATCGTTCGTTCGTCATACTGAAGACCCGGGTTCGATTCCCCACATCGGTAAAATGTGTGAAGCACTTTTCTGGTGTCCGCAGCCGTGACAATGACTGAAATTGGCGTCAAACCATACTCACTCATTCACTGGTACATGACTTGGTTGATACATGTCATCGATCCCAATCGCGAGGATCGACGCTCATGACGTCAATCAAAGGATTGTCTTGTCCCGACCCGATTATTTACAGACCACAGTCATTTAGCTGGAATATTGCTGAGTGCGGCGTTAAACAACAAACAAAACATACTAAATATTAAACTAAAACATTTCCCACCAATACCTTAATGTGAAATCTTTCGCTACAGACGTGTTCTCCACACACAATGAAAAGCTTCTCCAAATCGACCCGTGAAGATCCGGGGTAGAATAGATCTTCAGCAACCCATGCTTGCCGTAAAAGGCGACTATGCTTGTCGTAAAATGCGACTAACGGGATCGGGTGGTCAGGCTCGCTGACTTGGTTGATGCATGTCATCGATCCCAATTGCTTGGATTGATGCTCGTTATATTAATCACTGGATTGTCTGGTCCAGACTCGATTATTTACAGACCGCCGTCATATAGCTGGAATATTGCTTAGTGCGGCGTTAAACAACAAACCAACCAACCAACCTTCTCCAAATCAACTAAATAACTCCCGCTTTCGAGTCTTCAGGATTTCTATTCAACACTGTAAAGCGTAAATATGTTCTGCAAACCATTTCGAAAACCAGCTCGGACCTATTTCAAACTATTTTCTTTCAAAATAGTCGAGACTCTGTTTAACTTCAGATAGAAGTAAATAACTTTCCTGCACAATTTGATATGCCAATACCACGATAATTATTGGATGGTCCGGTCGATCTTTCCCTTTATTATACAAGCGCTATATAATTCCCTATTTAAACACAGTTCAGGGAAAAGAAACACTATCAAGTATAAGTTAAAGCTATGTTAAAAAATAATCTCTTCAAGATATATTTCTTTGTTTAGGATAGTATCATTTTCAAAAGAGGCTGCTGTTCTTATAATGTAGGATTCATCATCCATAAATATAATCTCCTTCATTAATTAATTTCAATTAAGCAATAATGATGACGTCACTCTATTGTTCTTGCACTTAATTCTAAGCCTGGAAGTCACTGGACACACAGAACAATTATTTTAAACAACTACAAATGACGCAACTGTAGGTCATTATGCAAAATTATTGAGAAGTTTTACATCAACCATAACATGGTTCAATTCGGAGAAATTACTCGAATCTGTTGTTTTCGAATTACTTTCGGTTATCGGTCATTGACAAGTTACATTTCTGAAGACATCCAGTGTGAAAACAGGAGTACCTGACAAGTGATTTCAATATGTGTGACAGGTGTTTAACAAGTGATTCCTCTTTTAGAGCGCCTTACATTTTCCACACAAAGTGAGTATTTCCCACGCGCAATCATGTATTCTCTCCCAAGTCACGGACTTGCACGCTTTCTTCGCCGTGTCAAAGGTCTCCTGGGGTCAAGGCCGAATGTCGTCGCAGTTTTCACACGGTGTTCATTTCAGCACCAACCAGGAACTCCGTAAATATCTACCTTTCTCTTGTTAATACCATCAACTTTGAATGTGTCTGAAGCTCTCTGCATGTCGAGAGTCCCCCTTTCGCATAGTTTTGGTGTCACGTGTTGTTATCCCACATTGATCATGACGCGTCATCTGCTGGGTCACACTGACCTTCAACTTCAGTGATTGATAGCTGAAGAAACAAAGCTTTGTGTATATCTGGCGCAAGGGGATTAAAATCTACTACATCAAAGTCATTGATGCAGCAGAATAAATCAGCCGTACATAAAACAAAGGACAGTGCTTGTGTCCTTGTAATTTAGTTGCCCCAGCCCTAATTTATGTTTCATCCATTGACGTGGGCACAGGGGGCCCAGTCGTCCAAGGCGCCGCAATTCGCGGTGCAGAGTTGCGTCCCTTGGGCAGGTCACCCACTATTTATGTTGGTTATATTGATTTACGATTTGATATTTCATTGACAATTTAGTCCATTGTTTCGTTTTAGAATAAAGACCGTTTTTTGATGGTATGACATGACATTTATTGCAACATGCTAGGGCTTTTTTAACAGATAGGATGGACTCTAGGGTCAACTGTTGGGCGACTTCGTTCAATAATTATAGAGAACTTGTATAACGGGACAGCTAACTCTTTGTAACGAAGACTTGGAACAAGGTGTACTTCAGGATGAAACACGTACTAGCAACCCCGTATATCAGAGAGACAATACTCTTTGCGCATAAAACCCACATATGTTGGTCATATTGGTTCCAGGAGTCGTGAGATGAAGCAACCGTTTCTGGAACGACTCTTATACCAAAATGAACAAGAACTTTTGAGGCTGAAGATTTAACGCGCGCTTCTCGTGGACCCGAATTCGTAGAAAAGAGAGTGTTCATTATATACTTCTCAAAAGAAGTTAAACAACGCCCTATTCTTTCATATTACAAAAGTTAATCTGCCATGGTACATTAACTTCTTCTTTGAGTTGTATGTATACGAGTTCTCGAACTACCTTAGAAAATATATCGAAATGTGTATATCATAGACATCTCACTTGGAGATACGTATTTTCTACTTGTAAAATTTAATGTATACTTTATAATGTAACGTTACGTTCAATGGGTCTGTGGCTTTTGACGCAACAATTAACTCCAACGTATTCCAGTTCTCAAATAAGCAGAAACCATTGTAGCTTGTTGCTTTTATTCTAACCTTTTATGCCCCAAAAGAGTCATGAGTTTAAATCCCAGGTTTTCTGGTTGGTTTTCCTACTGTCACGCACATTCCACACATGTAAATTGGACGTCTAACTTGTCGCATGACACGAGCAATGCCGTGCGACGTCAGGCAACAGTCACATACCATTTTATACAAGTTGTGTGAGTGGCGGGTTCTGCCAGTAGAGCAGGACCTGCTAACCTTTTTCCCGAACACCTGATGTCATCACTGATTTTCCGTGATCAGTGGAACCTCTTTATTCCGGGCACTGTTAATCCAGAAACCTCATCTTCCGAAGTTTAGGGAATGATTGTGTAAAAGGCCTACACTACTTTCAAGATTCCTTTATCGGGAAATTCACTACTCTAAACGATATCTCTCGAAACGGTATCGTCCGGAATTACGGGGTTTAACGGCACATATGTTAACATTCAAAGATTCGCATGTAATAAGGGAGACTATGTGAGTCTTATATGGACTCCCCAATGTAATGCAAGATACTTATACCGATTTCAATTAAATTCAACTGACTAATGTGGATTTTGTGTGATTTATTTTAAGAACTGCTCACTGATTAGGGAAACATTTCGTTTACAATTTAGAATTTCGACTCACGCATGCTAAGGTGCCTACGTCCAGGGTAGGTCGAAATGTTGATATATTTTCTCTTTTTAATTAGGGGGATCTTGATCTACAAAATTGATTTACATGAAGAAACGAGCCAACAGACACACGTCGGTATTTGAAAGACTATAAAATTGAAGACATTTGACTTCAAAGTCTACAGTCTTTCAACGCGACGTTTCTGAACATATGCTAGTATACCATTATAACACAAAGGCTAGGGCTGACGATTGAATTGTTTGTTTGTTGTTTAACGCCGCCCTCAGCAATATTCCAGCTATATGACGGCGGTCTGTAAATAATCGAGCCTGGACCAGACAATCCAGTGATTGACATCATGAGCATCGATCCACACAATTGGGATACGATGACATGCATCGACCAAGTCAGCTTGCCTGACCACCCGATCCTGTTAGTTGGCTCTTACGGCAAGCATGGGTTGCTGAAGACCTATTCTACCCCGGATCTTCACGGGTCGACGTTTGGATTGAGCTTCGTCGCTTTGTTTCATGAAAACTGTTTGAATTTCCAGGACGACATGCTATTCTCAACAACAGCAACAACAACCGTGAATGCGAAGACGAAGCCGAAGCCGCCGAGACGACGTAGACGGCATTTCACGACGGAGCAGCTGGAGACGCTGGAGACGACCTTCAGCAAACATGACGGCTACATCGACCTTCAGGTCAAACAGGACCTCGTTGAGCAGTTAGATGTGGACGAGGCCACTGTTTCGGTAAGATTACGCCCGTCTTGAATGTATGACTTTTAGACATCTTGCTTTGCAAACAGGTTATGCGAGACGCCGTTTGTATACTATTTTCAGCCTCTAAAGATGCCACCATTGCTGGTGTATTGCTGTCAGATCAATTATCAAAATAAGTGGATTTGGACACACGATGAGCGGATCCTGATATGGCTGTGGGACGCAACTCTTCAACGTGATGTGCGTCGCCTTAAGGATTTTGGATCTTCATAAATCAAAATGATGCAGTTCCCTTGTCTCGTTGGTTACTGGACTCTTGTTGTTTGTTGTTTAACACCGCACAGCAATATTCCAGCCATGTGAAGGCGGTCTGTAAATAATCGGGTCTGGACCAGACAACCCAGTGATTGGCATCATGAGCATCAATCTACGCAATTTGGATACCATGACATACATCAACCAAGTCAGCGAGTCTGACAACCGATCCCGTTCGTCGCCTGTTACAAGCATGGGTCGTTGAACACCAATCTAACTCGTATCTCTCTTCACGGGTGCCTTTGCTGTTATGAATCTGACGGATGTCAACCCAGAGGTGTTTGTGAGTCTGCCTATTACACATATATGTCTTCCCTTCTCTTGTATGCAGAGAATAAGATGGTTAATTTATGCATTTGTTTCATTTTGCAGACGTGGTTTTGCAACAGGAGAGCCAAATTTAGACGACAGACAAAACCTACATCTTTGTATACGCATCCGGTACAATCTTCCGGAATCAAAGATACAGTCGCACAAACATCGGTCATGGAAACGAAGGCGGCGAAACAACATAGAAAGCTGATCGACCTGAGCAACTTGCAACCAAAGCAGAATATTATAAACACTGGGAGATGCTTTGAACTCAGAAAGAAGTCACAATGTCAGCAAAGTGGACAACACTCAAATCCTTGCCACAAACGGAAGCGGTCTCGTACAACCGAAACAAGAGAACCGGAAGTTGAAACTTTGGCTTCTCGGACCTCCGACCTCGTCGGGAGATCAGAGAAACTTTATAAAGAGAACGAGGCAGGCGTTAATTTCAATGGACCGCAAGGGAAACCCAAACCGTTAATACACAAAAGACTATCTCTGCCGGACAATGTTTATAACCAGATCCTCACTGAAGCATATAATTCTGGGATATCCGACAAACAGACCACAAGTCCGCCAATAGTTTATAATATACAGACGTTCAGCCCTTCAGCGTTGCCAAGGATACTACCAATGAAAGACACGTCACAAAACAGTCATGTTTCACATTTCAAGACAGTAGGGTCACCACATTTGCCAAACAGGAGACAACCTACAAAACTTAAACGAATCCTTCCTAAGTCGGATGCAGTGGTGTCATCATCCCCTGCAGAGGGTCAAGCACCAGAGCGTCTCCCACAAGACGACGACAGTTCACAGGTACCTCCGTCGAATGAGCAGATTAGTTCTCGGTGCGGTTATAGCCCTATGTCTCTACCCCATGTGCCAGTGAAGCCTGGGTCCGAGTCTGTCATGGTTCGAGGTCCAGTGACAGTTGTTCCAGATAAAGAAAACGTCGTTCACCAGAGCTTATCTTGTGAAATCACGGTAACTACTAAAATATTAAGTCAGCATATTCATTGTACATAGTTTAAAATCTTTTCTTGCATGCGTTTTGTCACTAGTATTCTGATAAAAGCGCTCAAAAGGTTTTTGTGTAAATTGGCTCGGCTATGAATAGACAATGCCTTTTGGAAAGTAGTCAAATGTAGCATATGTTGTATTTGGGATGACACTTTCTTAGTAGAATGTGGGTTCGAAATCCTCGATGGAGCTCCACGAAAAAGAGTGCTAGAAATTGTACTTTACTTAGAATGTGTAGTCCCATATATATCATCTAACAACTGGCATTTTCAAAATAAGTCATGAAAGCACCAAGAGTATCAAGCCTTGCACCAATTGTGATACTGCATCTAGACTAGAGATATAATTACAGGATTAGTGGTTTTGTCCATTTGGGTGATAGGTACACGACTACATGTGACATGTATGATTGTTGTTTAACGCCGCACTATTCCAGCAATATTCCAGCTATATGACGGCGGTCTGTAAGTAATCGAGTCTGGACCAGACAATCCAGTGATTGACATCATGAGCATGGATCCACCAATTGAGATACGATGACATGCATCAACCAAGTCAGCGAGCCTGACCACCCGATCCTGTTAGTCGCCTCTTACGACAAACATAGTCGCCTTTTTACGGCAGGCATGGGTTGCTGAAGACCTATTCTAACCCGGATGTTCACAGGTCTAGGATGTAATGGGTATTATAACTGTTTCAGCTGCAGTCCAGGGAGCAAGATCCAAGTTTGAACAACTGCCCCGGGCATGGAGTGGGCAGTGTAGAGTGCCCACAGGAGACCGACACCGAGGATCTAAACCCTGCCTTGGATGAAGCCAGTTACTTCAGTGCCATGTGTGAAATAGACATCGCATGGGAATGGAATACACTGCCCGACGATGTGGCCGTAATGTTCCATAGCTACAGGGAGAGTCCAGATTGTGCAGGTGGTGTTGATATCACAGACACAACAGAGGCTGAACCTGAAGCCATAGTTGTTGAGAAGAACATACAGTTACCGTCAATCCTGCGTTGATGATTCATGTGTCAGTGGTTGTAAGGTTTCAAGTTAGACCGAGTGTAACCGTAACGACGCAACAGACATTGTTTCAACAATTTTGATCACCTAATGGGATTTATGCGGCCATTACATTTACATCTTTCTCATATTTGAAATTTATGTCAAAACATTGAGCAAAATGACATTCTCGGTTTTTACCAGATGCTTGCCTGAATTGTAGACCGATCCCTTTTAAAAACAAATATCCAGATACGTTGGTGTTGAACAATCGTCTACCGACCATCTGTTATGAAGCCAACTTTGACTCTATAGTCTCCAGTAATCGATATGATGCCATTATCGATAAGCGTAAACTGGCATTTGGTTTAGAACTAGTAAGAATTACCGTCAATCCTGCGTTGAGGATTCATGTGTCAGTGGTTGTCAGGTTTCAAATATCGTGCCAAGCACTTTACACGAACCCTTTAGAACTTCACCTTGGACACTCATTTACCCCCAGTCCTGCTTGTATGTGTCGTGTTCTTGTGTCAACCGTTGAGAGATTTTAAATGCTTGCGTAGCAAACGACTCCTGTAAGAACTCCATTTTGGGCTCAAGTTTCAAGCTTCCGGGTCGTCTCACAATACTATCATAATATTGTATAATAATTTAAACTGATTGGGGTGAAATATGTGTTTTAATAATTCTGGTAGATCCAAACAGAAAATAAAAGAGTTTTATGGAATGACTACACCTGGTCTTTTCTCTATTTATCTGCTGTAACTTCACAAGCAAATAATATAATTGTTTCAACCACAGAGATCAATGGCACTGTTAGGATGAGCAATGCTAAATAGATGAGCTCCATTTTAGGAGAATGAGCAAGTGCGTTTGATTTAAAGCTGCTATGAACAATATTTCAGTTATACCATGGCATGACAGTTCATGGGGGGGAGTTCTTTGACGTCTAACCAAGAGAACCCAGCAGCATATGCATGGCACTGATAAACAAAGTATCATTATCAGGGCGGATCTAGGATTCATACCCACTAACCTAGCATGATTAGGAAACTCTTCATAGCAAACTGTTGCGCCTAGGACACATGGGCATCAGAAGAAACCTTGGACTTTGTCAAACGACAAATACGATAACCTTATTACATCCCGCAGCTACCCTGTACATATATTCAAAATTACACATCCTTACATGCGTACATAGCTGGGTAAATAGCCATCGTTTAAATATGGCCATTGTGTCGCTCCAGATATGAAGCCTACTACAGTTATTCAGCACCAATGAGTCCACAGGCAAGCATTCAATGGTGAGGTGAGGTGAAATGGGGTTTAACGTCGCGTCCAAGATTATTGCACTCATATAGCGACTTGCATGCACGTGTGTGTGTGTGTGTGTGTGTGTGTGTGTGTGTGTGTGCGTGCGTGCGTGTGTGGCTGCTTGTACTAGTCCGGACTGATGCCGATTTATAGTGCTAGCCCACTGAGATACCATGCCGCAGTTGAACATGAAAACCCACTCAGACACAGTATACTGACTCCGAGCCGACCAGTCCATATTTCAGCCCCTTAATGCTGAGCGCCAGACAGGGTAACAGCAAGTACCATCTTTTAACGTCTTTTGGTATGCCGTGGCCTGGGATGGAACCCCGAACCTTCCGCTCTCCAGGCGGACACTCTACCACTAGACCACGGAGGCGGTCATCATACAATGACTATAGCTTGGACAGAAAAATATGCTCATAATGCAAGATCCCCATAACATATGGTGATATTATGTGTGTGTATGTGTGTGCATGCGCGCGCGAGTTAGCGCGAGTGCGTGTGCATGTGCGGATATACGTGAGTGGGTTCGTGCGTGCTAAGAAGTAGAAGATAGAAGATCAGGGAAGATAAATCTGATTAAAAGACTGAAAAGTTTCAGGTTTATGGCACACTCAGTATTGTGGCTTCTATATCTTAAATGGTATTGGCATACAGTTTCATTCGCACAATCCCCGACACCTCCGCCTCGATGCTGTAATGTCCTTAAACCACGCGAACACCGGAGAAGGCGACGCAATCAATATATGATCACTACCGGTAATGTAATTTAGCTCCAGTCGCCGTCACTAGTTAGATTATCAAACTGAAGTTAGACCGTGCGTAACCGTAACGACGCAACAGACATTGTTTCAACATGATTTTGATCACCTAATAGGATTAATGCGGCCAATACATTTACATCTTTCTCGCATTTGAAATTTATGTCAAAACAATGAGTAAAATGACATTCTCGGTTTTCACCAGATTTTTGTCTGGATTGTAAACCGACCCCTTTTAAAAACAAATATCCAGATACGTCGGTGTTGAACAATCGTCTACCGACCATCTGTTATGAAGCCAACTTGACTCTATTGTCTCCAGTAATCGATATGATGCCATTATTAATAAGCGTAAATTGGCATTTGGTTCAGAACTGGTTGTCAAGGAATCTACGAATCTGGTATATGTAAGCAGTAATGTTCAAGAATCAATGTCAAATAAACTGATTATGAAACATTCAAACGTGTGCTACTGCCATGTGTAAAGACATGCAATTACCGCATGAGTAGATCTATGTCTAGTTGGTAGCAGTAGGTGAAACATGTGCTCGTTTATTTGCAGTGGTGAGGTTGTGGTATGTATGGCAATGACATTGTTATTAAATATATTTATATGCTACAGGCGTTTACCAAACCCATACTTCATGATACACTGCCCTTTAAATATACGATTACCCCACGTACGATTACCTCGTAATTATTAAAAAATGCATACCAACAAAATATATTATAGAGTGAATATGTGAGTTGGGTTAAACGCCGCTTTCAACAGTATTCCAGTTCCATCATGCTTAATGTAGGAAGAAAGTCCGAAGTGATTCGGGTATCTGACGTTTACCACTTTGGTGAAACCCAAGAGCATGGGTGTGATGCTGACACACCTAAAGAAACATAATCGGGGTGAACCGGGATTCGAACCCACAATCATAGGTTTCTTACGCCTCACGACGACTGGGCATGCACCGTGCCCTAATATGAAAAAGTTATATTCTCCCCATGGCATAATCTGTCTTCGTGTGGGTATTTATACTTATCCAATACATGTTAATGCCACATAAACCACAATAGCGCAATGATAGTATTTCCTTTAATCTGAAGAATGATGTTGGATGATAAATAAAATCTCACCCTCGTGTCTTTTGATATCTAATATATCAACACGAGTTGACAAAAGTGGAAAAAACTCAGAGGCTTGCCGAGAATTCATGATCACATAGTCAGGTCACACTGTTTACCCTCTGGATGCCGAGGTTTTCTGACGCACATTTTCCTAAGATCGGAAAAGTGAAGGTTGTGCGAGAATTGCGCTCACGCGGCACTGGATCTACCTCTGGCATTAAAATTACGCAGAGGTGGAGAATATGAAATTTCCTATTTGATGGTGTAAAGTTAACTGCAAATATTAAACCGGTTTTTAAAAAATACACTTCTAAGTGTTGTCCGACAATTTATTCTGCTTTGAAAAACAGTAAATTTCTCCGCTTTTTATCGTACACTGATAAAAGTACTGTGCGACGATTTTTTTTATTTAGAAATTTTACGGAAACTGTGAGCGAACAAAATACTGTCTAATATCTGGACGACATAACTATATATCAAATGGAGTTATATGCGTATACATACATATGCGACATACATTCAATGCCAAAAATAGCATGCCGTAAATGACGAAAACTAATTTTTCTCTATGACGTCAAAAGGCGACAAAGAGGTTACACACGTACAAAGAAAAGGGGGCATAACTCCGCTATGCTCAGCACTAGTTTATTGTAACTCAGGTCACTTGGTGAGAATTAGCTGTGGGCAAGGATAATATATTTTCGTGGTGTTTTGTTCACGAGGAACCAAACTATTCCAACACAAATTTCGATAAAGAAACTGTATACGTTTAGTTATAAAAAAACCCATAAGAAATGACATCGTTCTTTATAAGAAAGAGGTAATAGAGAAATGGATGGCCCCATCTAACCAATAACTTAGTCCTTAGATTCCAACATTCTCCTGAATGTGTAAGTGTAATTTGACTAATGTTGCACCATTATAAATAGAGCACTAGCCTTATCATCAAATGTAATGAAATACCCAAAAAATAACACCATTCTATTTGACGTCATGGCTTGTTTTATGGCTTTGATAGGTGAGGTGAAATGGGGTTTAAAAAGGGGCTGTAATATATTCCATTTTCTGAAGAGATTAGTAATGTGTATTTGATGATATATATGCATACACAATTGGTTATCAATTATCTTCTAAAATCACAGCATGTACCATGTACATTAGACTCATGGAAAATACTATTTCAGCAAACCAATCACAGCGCCACTATCACAGTTTCTATGAAAGGAAAAACAAATCGAAATTGAACTTAACAGCACAGCGTATCCATAAGCGGTTAATCAAAATACAAAAAAGGTATTGATGTCATCATTGTAGAAGTTATGTTGATGTTTTCAGTAGTTGCATTATGTTTGTATCGCGTGTACCATCGACAGAAACAGGGGCCGAGCTACCACATGTGGAACCGACCTTGACACAATTTGTTTACAATATTGCGTCGACTCACGTTAGATGTAGTGGCCACACTTTTGAAATCTCCATTTGCGACAAAATGTGAAACAGTTAGGGTAAGTCACTCACACGGTCAGGTAGTTTGAGCAATCACACATGACTCTTAGTCATTTCATATGAAAAAAGTAGCAGTTATTTGTTTGAACGGGCGAGTATGTAGGACAACCGGTAAACAAGAAATCGCGGCACAGATATGATGCGAACGTGCCCTGTCGATCACTTCGGGCTTGGCCATTCAATGTTTAGGTTTTAATCATGAACCTCATGCCCATAAATATACACTATACCAACTTAATATTAACGATTATAGCTACCTTTCCATGTCTTTGATTTGAATATTTTCTGTAAATCAGCATCATAAACAAAAGACAATCTGCACTGTCGGTTGGTATGTAGCGCCGTGCTAAATCGCCATGATATATATATTTGCCAGAGGTTGATTTTGGTTGGGTTTGGTATGGTGTGACAGAATATGTAGATGATTCATTTTAACAAAAAATGTGTCTGTTATCAAAAATGTCTAGGTGTTTCAATATTTCTACTGGCCTATGACACACATTCGATAAACATATGCAATACTTGAACAAAAAACTTCCGTGGCCGACTAAACGTTAGTACTCTCACGCCAATAACTGTACAGTGGGGACTAGTAAATCTTTCTGACCAGTCCGATCAGATTTCTTTTTCAAATTGGCTGTCTGATATAATAATAGTTACGTGTATGTGACATGGGTGCATAATAAGAAAATGCCTTCAGTCGCATGAAGTTCAACATGGCAGAAAAAGATCGAGAAGCGCGGTAACCACATTACTAATCTCGCCATATTTCGCAATCCGTAGCACTGCATAAAATATGAGTTACACGATATTAACGTTGAGATGATTAGGGTGATGATGGTTATAATCTCATTCAATGAACGTCATAAATGTAATGGAAAAATACACTGTCGTTTTCTCATGTGTACCGACCATTCCGCCATTACCGATAGTCGATAAAAATATACAAAACGTGTAAATAAACTTGTTCATAAAGGAGTGAACAGAATTGTATTTACGTGAATAAGTATACAGTTGAGAAAAATATG